TCGCAAGGATTTTCGTGGAAAAAAAGGAAGGTAAACTTATCCCGAAAGAAAATATTTGACAGGTCCGGTTACGTTGTACACCTAGTTCACTGATGCATAGAATTAAATAAATACATAACGTAATCAAAATTTCAAAACGAAAATCTCAATGCCGGTCATCTTTCGTCTTACTCTTTTTTCTATTTTTTTTATCTACGATGACGAGTGTTGCTAAACACATTCAACTTGAAGCAGAGATAATCAGTTTTGCCGCCACAACACATAATGACTTACCTAATATATTGTCTTCGCCTCTTGCCAGTTGGAGCAGGAAGAGACCGAAAATAAAGCTCTGAACGCAACGCATGGTTATCACCGTACGCTGTGGTTATAAGAGCGAAATGTAATTTGAAAGTATTGCTTCTGCGTTTCAGACACAAAGGAATTAAATAGGGAACACGCACGAACGTGCCAAAAGATTTTTCCTTTCAGCGCACCTATTTGGTCAAGCTGTCAACGGTAACGTTATCTTTGATTCCTTAAATTTGAGCGCTGTTATTTTTTAGGGTGTTAAGGGCAGGAAATGAGAAGCTATCTGTCAGCAAACTATTATTTTAGTGCGGAATTTTCTCTACGTGAGCCAAATCACTGAGGCCGAAACTGTGCTGTCATTTTCATCCCATTAAAAGGCCTGTGTATTTGGAAGTCATCCAACCCCTGCTGTTTATCTTTTTATCAGAATTGGGCAATATGGTGTTTCAATCAGACCTATTGAGCCGCAGCACTGTCATACTTAATTTAACACTCAACTGTGTATATTTTCAACCTCTCCTTATTTCCTTTATCATAGATAGTTTACCGTCTTAAGCAGCCGAAAACCATACCAGATTTAACAATTTTCATTGAAAGCGGCAGGGAAATGACGGCTCAACAAAGCGAAGAAAATATGTTTTTTTCCACGGGAAGAAAATAACTTCCCTGACCTTTTTCTGCGACTTCCCAAAATCCGACCTCAACATCCGCTGAAACTGAAGCAGCTCAAATTGCTAGCACGTTCTGAGTGTGCGTGCGGGCTGTTTTCTCTGGCAACCGATAATTCGTGTTTAGGCAGCGCTCAGAAGGTAAAAATACACCGAAAGAATTAACTAAACAATCTTAACACGTTAGTGTATAGCGGAAACAGAAATCGTTTCATCGTCCGTGAAACTTATCGAGAGTTAGATCTACAAACAGAGCAAGATGCAGTTTTTTCGATATCAGGTAAGACGTCAATTTACTGTACACTGTAACGCAACTGAAGCTGAAAGGACTAAATGGGAAAATTTACGCGCTAGATTGACCAATATGGTGATTGATCTTGACGGGGTATTTTGATCATTGTATGATTAAATATTTTTTTTCTAAGAGGCCAGATACGTGAAAAGTATGTGAACAGGTCTTGCAACTATATCTTAAAATTCAATGATGTGGAGCGACTGGTGTCACCGCACAGAATAACAAAGGACGTAACGTATTTATTTAAAAGATTCAAATCCGTCTAGTCCTTTTCAAGATGGGAACGTTATAGGTCAGCAAATAGCATGCAGTATAAATCAATAAAAATCGATGATAAATGATACTCTATGCCAATTGATCGATCGAAACTGGACAAAAATCAAAGTTTTATTCTGTAGTTATAAGATTGGAAATGTTTCTTTCAGTTACAACAAAGAGTTTCTAACATTGGGTAACCTTTAACCTCCTCTATGCTAAAAGGGAAGATTCTTCTTTCAGCAGGGGGAGGAAAGCACGACAAAAATCACTCCTTGAAATACTCCTATTTCTGCGTGTTTACAAGCGTAAGCTTAAATTTATTAGATTTCTGTATCCAATAAGGACACTCAAAGGATGTACGATAGCATCAGTCGAACTTCTTTAACATTGGCCATGGAGACTGCTTACAACCAAGACATCTATTCAATTAAGATTAGATCTCCCTTAGTGTTGCTATACACTTCCTTTAAGTTAGGCAG